CTGTCTTGACATCTCCCCTGTACATGGGTGTGGGGTCTGGACCCTGGCCTTGCTCAACAAGGCGCTGCAGAAACACAGGCTGAAGGTGGTCCCATCTTAAAAGCTGGCTCCTCCTTGCATGGGGTTGTATTGAGAACTGTTAAGGGTAGCAATTTGCCCCATCCCAGGAGTAACCCCAAGCCACATGCTTGAGGGGGATCCACTTCAGTCTGACCAAGGCAGAGCCTGTGACACCACACTACCCATATCTGAGAAGAATATTGCCCAATCCGCAAGTTGCACCTCAAGATCTCCCCAATCCCGCTGTACTTGATGAGGAGCCTGCACCAAAACCAAGGCTTGCTCCTTTGGCTGGGAGGAGAAAGTGTATCTGTTGCTCAGGCCAGGATCACACCCAGGCCAGCTACCAGCGAGCAAGGTCAGGCACAAGTGCTTCCCGAGGGACAGACGAATAGACAGCAGAAGACCTTCATGTCAACCTTCAGCACTGGCTTCAGACTGATGCATACCTAGGGATCTTTTCCATCAACACACCCTTTCTCATGCCTGCCAGTTTTCCTCTTCACCCTCTCACAAGCCATTCCTAACAGAAGTTCCCACAAACAATGTGGGACAAGCAACACCAGTGTCATCCAGTGAAATTATAACCAGGCAGTTGGGCAACATCACAGAACTGACCAGTTCAAAGGCAGCCCCAGGGCCTGTTTACCCCTTGCATGGGGAGTGTCAGGATTACACTGTGACCTGACAGGGTCCCGGTCTAGTTCAGAAGCAGCGAGAAGGTGCCATGTTCAGGATCATGCAAAAAGTGACATGATGGTGCCAGATGCAGCACGTGTGCAAAAGAGGCCAAAATGGTCAAAGCAGCAACTTTGTACATTGGTTCTCACTCTTGACCACAAGCTACAGAGGAGAGGTCAGCTCAGAGGTAGCACACTCTTCCCCACAAACAGGAGGGCTGCTTCTGGTTTCTCTCACTCAGCTTCCGTTGGGCTGGACCAAGAGAATTCACAGCGAGAACTACCTGTCCCTGCAAGAGTTACTTTGGGACCGTTCTGGATACCTGGCATCCACTTCTTGCAGCCAGAAATAAAGCGTTAACTTTCAGACCAACAATCTCTTCACTGAGCTGTGCTCAAGCTACTCCTACACTCTCAGCATGAGAGTACAGCACGTTCTCTTTTTGGAACAGAGGATGCTCACCGGGATTCCTGAAATCAATTCACATTATTTTGGTATTTCTGCTACTGTCTATCTTGCAATACATGCTCTGAGTAAGACTTACGTCCTCCAGCTATGACAAGTGTAAAAAAGAAGCAGCAGCAGCACTGAAGGCACCATGCACAAAAGCAGCAATATGCAAGGAAAAGGGCAGGGGACACGAGCATCAAGTACTTCACCATGTAAACATCCCCACTCGTTTCCCAGGAGGAGGATTAATGGCCACACCAGTGGAAAGCCTGTTTGTAAAGCAAACGTACTTAGCTTCCTCCACCACCTCCACCTCTGCCTGCGCTGTTATTGGCGCGTTGGAGTGTGCCCCCGTCGGATCGTCCACGTTCAGTTCCCCATTGGTCGAGCTAACCACCTGAAACACAAATGAACGTCTCGTTAACGAAGCCCCCTTGCACATGGATGTGTCCCCACCCGGCTGGACAAGGGATGCTGTGGGAATGGGAAAGTTGCGGAATAACTGCTATTTGCTCCTGTCTCTTTGCCCCCTCTTAGCGGGCTGTCAGATTCCTTGGATGCCTTTGAATTACGTGCCTGGCATGGAGAGACCAGCCTGGTCCATCCCAAGCAGAACAGCAGGCAGGTGACTGTGTCTGTGTTCACGAATTCATGCTCCTGTACCCAGCACAGGTCTTCTTGTCTTTGGGAGGCGTAGCCACTTTGGGAGGTGTACCCAGTAGTGTAAAGACTAACTGACAGCCCTATATACACAGACAAACTGTATTCTATTGATTGTTCTCCTCACAATTTTATAGGCGAGTGACTCAGTCCTGTTGCCTGTCAGTATCGTGGGAAGAAGTCACTCCAGAGCCACCAGAATCTCACTCCTTACACAGTCAGTTTCTGGAATTACGTCCTCACCCAAAAGCTATTGATATGGTCTCTCGTCTCTTTTTGCTTCACAGTTGACATTATGGCTTACTTCAGGATTTCCATTATATGGATGACCATCCAGATCCCCAGCTGCCAGCAGCTCTGCATTTGCCAGGAGAGCACATAATTTTCTGGATAACTCATCATTGCTCTAATGCCAACATAACCGCCAGAGAAGCCTGTATGGGACCGAAGTTTGGCCAGCCCTTCTGCACTCCATCTGGAAGTTAGGACAGGCTCCTGCACATTGCTGTGAACATCTGGAGCTGCTCCTGGGTCCAAAGCTGTAATGATACGCGGTTCCCCTTCCACTCTACCTCTTCACCTTTCTACAAGGTAAAAGGAGGTATCTCCCATGCTGTGGTGTCAAGGTGCTACCCAGTGTTCCTGGTGGCTCTGGATGACTTAACCGCCAGAGATGAAGGGAAGAAAGCCATTGAAACAGATGTCCCCTCTCCATTAAGTGCATCTATCCGACTTCGTTCTGAATACTTAAGTTCTGTCAGCAACTGCTGTTTCTGCAGATCAAGTCCCGTGGCCAGTCTCTACCAAGACAGGTCAGGACTCAGCTCATGTGGTTTTCGGAGCTCTCCTTGAGTGACAACCCCTTGGGTGCTCTTCACACTCCCTTTCCCAGACTCATCACACTGTAGGCCCACCTAGGTTCTCCAGACCCCCACACTTCCCACACAACTTTGTGAAACGATAGCACAATAGTGCTATTCCCAGTGATCTTCCCACACTTTCTTCAGCTACTTGTTAAATTTCATTTTACAAAAGGCTTTGATTTTCCTCTTCTTTTTTTACCTGCCGCCACTTCATTTTGATGTGGCAAATTCAACTGTTGCCTTAAAGGAAACGGTCAGTCAAAGCTACTGACCTCCCAAGGGTTCAGCATGAGCTAGGGCATCTGTTGAGAAACAATTTAAGCATCTGCAGCCCAGCAGTCATGCACAGCAGAAGATTTCCTGTTCTTGGCTGCAGATAAGCAGAATTTTAATGCTTACAATGGCACATACAGGCTTGTAAACTGCTCAGGTAGGCAACTCTCCCAGTCAAATTCAGACTAGGACTGCATTATTGCTGTACCTACTCTGGCAGAGCACTGTTCATGGGGAGACACAGCTCATGCTGGCTTTGCGCCAGGAAACTATTCCCCTTACATAAAGAAATATGAATTAAAACACCTACTCTGTACTTACTGAGTGCTGAATTCATAGAATCACAGAATGGTTTGCGTCGGAAAGGACCTTTACAGATCATCTAGTCCAAGCCCCCTGCCACAGGCAGGGACATATTTCATTAGATCAGGTTGCTAAAAGCCCTGTCCAGCCTGGCCTTGAACACTTCTCCATTTTACTGTCTGCTCATGTCTGAGATCAGAGCTATACATACATTAGTTCCTCCTTATTTTTCAGTTTCTCTGCTACTCAGTAAAATACCTTTAAATGAAAAAAGGAACATGGCTAATCATGCCAAAAAATCATTGAATCCAACCAAATATCAGGAATAACTAAAAATTTCAACCTAATCTGCATTTCACTTAGGGGCATCATGCACTACCCATCTCCTCAGCTCAGCTTTGTCCCACTCCAGGCACTAATTCTGATTTCAGCAGAGCCAATTTTCAAAGTGTTGTGTCTGACACTAGAGCCAGCTCTTGCAGGCAAACCTCTGCCAAAGAGGTTTGCCTCACCACCAATATTAGACAGTTCTTGTTTGCTTGAATGACTCTTGCACCTTCTCTCTAGTGCATCCAGCCATCTTACTCTTGTACTAGCAAGAAACTCCCTTAGCGAGCCTGAGTGATAACCAGAGGCAGGTATGGTTTTGTAGACAGAAGTAGTCTTTTCAGGAATTAAAAAACTTAGCTGTAGTGCCACCTTTAATGCTGTCTGGCACTGTCGTGCATCCTCTGCTCATCCACCTTCCACAGTGCAATCATCCAGAGATCCAACTTGCAGCCACCATGCCCTTACAATGGTGCTGGCCTGCCACTAGATCCAAAACGAAAATGGAAATGCACTGGGGAGCAAGAGAACAGGGTCACAACACCCTGCACCACATCCATCCGGAGGGAGAAGTGGCTGTACAGCCTACTCGCACCAGCCATCCCCTGTGCATTTCTCCAGTCTGACACCCCTGTATTTCCATTAAGCAGGAAGAATTCAACCAGAACCTCATCTATGAAGCCTGAACTGGAACAGATCAACTATTTTCCTAACATTAATGGGGTTTATATGCAAGAAACCCTACTTCAGCTGCTTCTTACTACCTAAGAGCATCCCCAAGATGGGGATAGAGGGGTGCTTTACAGACCAGACCTGCTAATATACACTCCTTTCTGTATTCAGTTTGACAAATCTGAGTTAAAAATAGCTCTCGGAGGAAAAGCTTAGTTGAAATCTTAACAGTACTGATGTTAGCCATCACAGCTTGGGTCCCACAAGACCATGGCTTGAGCGTTACACACAGGACAGGACCAAACCAGCTTGTGAAATCGCTCTCCTGACCACAATGTTACTGCAATTTGAGGAGAATTCAGGGGGTTTGACACAAATTCTCGCATCAAGGCTGTACACATCGGGAGGAAGAGGTACCTGTACTGATCCTCCATGCCGATCTGCAGCCAAATGAGATGTCAAGTACGAGGTATTCGTCTGCCGGCTTGGCTGGATCTCCCACTCCCCTCGGCGATCTGATGATGCCTGCTCACAAGTCCAGAAGCACAAGAGAAACAGAAGAGAGGGCAAAAGGTGAATGAGGGAAGAAATAAAAGGATGTTTGTTAGTGAGTTAGTTTCTTTGCAAAAAGCAAGGCATTTAAACTTCTAGCTGAACTAAAATTTCTCTTTACCAAGTGCACCTCATACTTTACTTCAGTGGTGTCTGCAGTAATCCACTGCAGGAGTGGATTTCTTCTCCTCTAGATGCTAAATGAAGAGAAAGCTCAGATCTATTCAGGAAGTTATTTCTTTACACGGCTTCATTTCCATGGGTTTCAGCATAGAAATAAACACACTGACAGCATGTTTAACTACGTCTGTCAGGTCACACACACCAGAGCACTTGGCATGGCAGCAAGATTGGATACATAAGCTCGACTTTCCTAAAATACGTATTTTTAAACTCTAATTTGCAACATAAAACAAAGCCACATTTTATTTCACCAAAAGCCAGTTCCACACACTGATTCACCTGTACAGTGCAGAAGGAAACATCCACCACACCTGCTTGACTGAAGAGAGGGTTGGTGGCTTTTTGGTTTTCTGCAGAAAAGTAGATAAGAAACTTTTGCTAACAGTTTCTTCTTTATTCCCAACAGATGCAAACTTTAGGCAATTTAATTATTAGAATTTTATTTGTTTGATTAGAAGAACCACTTTGCACTTGCATGTGAAGCTCCTTACAGGTCATCCAGCTTTGATGACAACACACCCAGCATTCAGCTAAGGCCTAGGAGGATCTCAATGTACCAAAACCCAACCAACCAGCTGGAGGAACACTTCCTAAGACTGGGAAGTGTAAGACAAACAGGTAGATCTGTGTTGGCCTCAGGCCAACAGCAGAGGGCATAGTCAAGCCTGAAGTGACCAATGGGACACCTTTAAAAGGTGTCGCCCTGCGCACCGTATAAAAATTTATGCAAGTGTTTCAAAGCTGAAGCACAAATTTGAAAGAAGAGATGGCAGAGCAGCAGAGTCCCCCCAGTGCACACGCACCTGGCAGGAGGGATGCTGAACAGAGACACTATGAACCTGGCCAGGAAACAAGAGGCTCAAGCAAATAAACACCAGATTATCAGCAGTGAAGCTGAAGTAGCTAACCAAAGAGAGGTGCACAGGCCCTGCTTTTCCCTAGCACTACTTTGTGCCAAGCCCTGGTCAGAGGAAGAGAAACCACAGGGCTCAGTGCCACTGTAAAAAAGAGAAAGGAAAAAAAAAAAAAAGACTGCAAGCAGAGAAAGACTCCAGAAACCTCTGAATAAACTTCAACACTAACTACAGCAGGAGCACATGCAAAAAGTAAGAGAATAAAAGGCGGTGGCTCCTGGCATGTCATAAAACATTCGCTATTGTTCCCTTTGCACATGACCTCTGACTCCCTCCTGGAGTGACCGGTGGTGCTGCTCCTCCTTCCAAGCAGTCACCAAATCCAGTTCATAGGTACTATTTCCCTAGAGGTGGTCTTGTCCAGGCTTGTCCTATTAAATCTTCTTATTACATGTTCTTCCTGTCAGCCTGAGATGCTGCTTACGCTTTTTGTACTTGTTGACATTCAAAGGAGAAGCGCTTCCCTCGGAATATTTTTTTAACGGCTGCAAGTCACAAGATTATGAACAACTGCAGAATTTTAATGCAGGTGTTAAAAGCTAGTAGAAGACAGATCTTGAGTGCTGCTTCTTCCAAAGCACTGTGCCATCAGCTCGCTTGGCTAGCCCAGGTGATGAAGTAGCACCATGTTACATCAACGTTAGGAGAAGGAAGCTTCTACCTAGGAGCTTGGAAGCAGTTTCTAGCAAAGGCTCTAGTAGCTACAAGAGCCAGATTTTTCTCTTTTAGCTCTACAGTCAAGTACGTGATAAACTGGTTTTGAAGTAGGCTTGAGCTGAGCTGCCCAAAATGCAACCCAAGCAGTGACACTGAGGAAGTGATGCCTGTGAAATTTGAGAGCATCAAGTTCCCATTAACACTCATCACCTTCCTACCAGCTACCACATTACAAGACAAGACTGGCACCTAAAGACAGAGGGGGAAGGGCTCACCCATCTTTATAGTTAAGTATCTTCACTTCCTAGAGGAAAAGCCTACAAAAAAAAAGGAGATCAGTCTCTCATCAGCGTCTTTACTGGGAACCAAATATTATAAAAGAGAATCTGCAGTTACTATACTCGGGAACAAAAATAAGGCAATTCTACCTGGAGATAAAGGCAGTCACTTAACTCAAACCCATGCCTCCAATTCACTGCTCTAGACATTCATGTTTTCTACTTTTTCCTTTAGAGAAATCGTTTGCTCAGTATTTAAAAGGAACATCCCTTGGAAGACAGTTGTTTATGTTTGGTAAGAAGAAACCGATTTTCCCTGCATATTGGGATATTAAATAATTCAGCATCCCAAGTAATGTTTAGGTGAAAAAAATGACAAAAGCTGCTATGGAATACAGCATCAAGACTATTTGCAAGGCTCAGAAGAAGGACTGAAGGCTGCCTGCATAACATTTTGGGACTAGGACTGATTTCTTTGGGCTGCGTACTATAATTTGTGAACTAACATGCTTGAAAATGAAGCCAGGCGTCATTGTCCATTAAAGGAAACAAGATGCCTCATATGCACACAGTGTGAAGGTCTGTTGTCAAAGCGGACAACTACAGACTGCCACCCAAAAAAGGGAGGTTAATGCATTAATCAGGCAATATATTAAAGCAGATTATTTTACTAGTACTCACAAACCAGTCCACACTAATCAGCATGCATAAATACAGTACTGCACACGTGCTTCAAACAATCCAGCTTCCTACAAGCAACACTGCTAATGAGGAGTATTCATCCTGATCGTAGCTGATGGCTTGAGATGTATTCTAGTCTACGTTAGCTGCTCTACCATTCAGAGCCCAGCTGCACGGAACAAGGAAAGCTGAGCCCAGACAGGTTATTACATCTCACACTCGATTCTGCACCCATGAACCCCAGCTTGTGCGAGCTGAGTGGGAGCAGAGACAGCAGACAAGGAGCTAGAACAGCAAACAGCGGTTAGAGGAGCAGAGAGAGCCCAGAACCACTCACTGGGAAGTAAGAGCACCAACAGCTCTAGCTAGGAGCCGGCAGTTGGAGATCTACTGAACTTCTGATCAGTTCTGTTAATATAGAAAATCCAAACTCTCAACACCAACAAAATATTATAACTAGACAGGAAAAAATGGGGAAATTCAAATTAAAAAACTGGCAGTTCATCCAGACCATGATGCCCAGCCTCCCCAAGGGATGCTACCCTGGTAGTTCTTTATGCTCTGCAACACTCAGGCCGTGAACCAGACTCCCTGAAAAAGATACATTGCGTGTACATGGGACACGCACATCCTTATCGCAGCTGCACAGTTCATGGGAAGAGGGCACTTGGGGGCAGGCTGCCACTGCCACAACTGTTGGTTTACTCCATGGTCCAAGTGCTATGAGTAAAAGCACCCAAAAGAACATTGTTGGCCAGGTAGGTCAGGTAGTCTGACCAGACTTAAACAGCTTACCCACAAACTACAGAAAAAATGACGTATTCCAAATTGTGCTCCACTTGGTTCACGATCCCGAGGAATTCCACTGGCTGATACAGTATCTCAGCAACCTGTCACTTTGACAAAATTCTGCTCAAATCACAGTCTCTAAATTAAGCACGTATTGTGTTTGCCATGACCAAGGCAAGAATCAGGCCCAGCCACCTCTAATGGCATATGGCGTCTGCTTCTCCAGTCCAAGAGGAATTCAGAGAGGTGCCAAACAACATGGCACTGCCGAAGCAGTTGTGAGCAACGCACCTGATTGCGAAGGGCCTGCTGCGATGGTCGATCCCTATGGACGTGGCTGTCTCTTGTTACTGCAGATGTCCCAGAATCTACGTGAACAGATCCCACTGGAGTAGGCTGGAAAACAAGGCGTTCGTTAGGATGAAGCCAATGCTGAAGATGCTTCTCTCTCTCAACACATGCATGCACAAACCTAACTTGTCAGGCTGGCTCTTATCGGGTGGAAACAGGAAAATATCAAAACATTGCCCAAAGGTACTGACAATAACCAAAGAAAATTACAGCAGGGCTACAAATTCCCTGTGATTTGATGGATGTGTGATTTGATGCTGGACACCAGCACCAAATGTCTTGTATAAAAATTAATTAAAAAGATACAGTTAGGTATCTGTATCGGTGTCAGATCACACCTGATGTGTCTCACATAGTATTATTACAACTGAAAACATACAGACTTGTTCTCCTCATCTCATTGTCTTGCCACTTTTAAAAATCACGCTTGCATAGAAACAGGACATGTTAAAATTAAAGCTTCATCTGCTCTATTCTCACCAAAGTCATAATCCCTGCTCACAACATCAAAATCTCCATAGCAACCACTGCAGTTGTCAGCAATAGCATGCTTGTCTTACAAGGTGCTTTTTATCAATTGCCTTTGTAATTAAACAAAAATGAGAGAAAAATCATGATTCACAAAGGGAATGATTTCTTACAAAAATGAATTGTTCTGGGCACAGTAAACATTGGTAATGCTAAATATAGTTGGGACAGTAAATCACCGGCAGCAGTACCAAGTCTAGCACTGAAGGCATTTGATCTGGCACCAGCGACAATTAATTTACAGACGCCTTTGCCATTGCCGGTGTGTGGTGACCGGCCATTAGCAAGACCAGAACGACACAAAACACAAGTGACAGGCAGCCAGCAGAACAGCTTTAGACTTTTATATCAGATTTCCTCATGACACATCTTTTGGCCAAGGTCTTCTAGAGTATAAATGGCTTTTGACAATAGAAGCAATGCAACGAGATCATGATTATGATCCATCTGGTGTCATGGAACTGCTAAATGGAGCTTGGTTACTCCCAGATTTCCATGCCATGTGCCATAAAGAGCTGGTTCAGCCTCCAGAGTAGGGTAAGCCCCATGATCTTTTGAGTTCAGAACTGGTTTGCCGTTACTATTCACCAAGCATCCATCAGAGCCCTGCCTAGATCTCTCGTACGTCTCGATGAGAACTCAACCATTATAGAGCTGTTCCACTGTTCAGTGCTGAGGTAACCAGTATGCTCTCCTGCTTTAAGATGGATGTCTTTAGATATTTGTCTTAAATCCTGTGCTACACTAGAGGAAATTTAGTCATGTTCATTGCCACAAGTGGGAAAATCAGGCTTGAATGCCCCACCAGGGCAAGCCCAAAGAGGTGGGAAGGGGCCTTCTGCCCCTTAGGGAAACTTTAAGGCACTGCAAGAATCCCCTGAATGCCACATCAGGACATCTCACTACGTTGAGCCCATGTTAGCTAGAGAACAGAAGTGAAAGACTTGATCCTAAGCTCACTGGCATTAATTGGGATTATCAGGAATAAAGAGCCAGGTGATGGGGAAGCAGCACCTGGAAGGCAAGGCACTGCATTTTGCAGGGACAACTTACAATTGGCCTGCCGACCCAGTCATAGGCGTAGTCAAAGGTGTAGCCTTTCTTTTCAAACAGCTCTGTGAAGATGGTTCGTAAATAATCATAGTCTGGTCTCTCAAAGAAGTCTAATCGCCGAACATAACGGAGGTACGTGGCCATCTCCTCTGTTGGAAAAGGGGAAAAAAGCAGCAGCGTCAGTTCTGCTCGCAGATGAGCTCCATCACTTGCAAGTCCCTCAGAGCCAACACACACACTGGAAACATGCTTTTCAATGAACTCCAACGAGGCCTTCCCATGGCACTAGGTTCGAAGTTGGTGCTTAAAGTTGCGCTGAGGGCCAGATCACCAGTGACGCGAGTTGTCCAGGCTCCGCTAAGTTCAGCTGAGCCATGCAGATTGACAGAAGCTGAGGATATCCATCAAGCCTTCACCATCAGCGACCTACTCAACAGTCTTTTATTGCTATATGAATCTCACTCAGCTTTCCAGAACCCTCCCTGCCCAAAGTCTAATAGTAGTCTGCTTTTATTCTGAATCTTCTGAATGAGTTGTTATAAACCAAGGTCTGTGTTTCAGCATTGAGCATCACGCTGTGAAAGAATTGCCTGGGCTGCCGGTGCTACCTCTGGCTTTTCCTTAAAACTAGTGGTTTTTAGTAATAGTCCATAATGCAAATCAATTCAAATACTTCTAAAGCAAAGATGGAAGTCCCATCTCTGCTCCTGAGAGCTGCTACTCCACCTCAAATCTGAGTTCCACAGCTAGTTTTATTCTATACATTTGTACAGAAACAAACACTAAAACATACTGTACAATAAATGCCAGCTCACTGAACCTGCCAACAGGATGCCCACATGTGTCTGCTCACATAGACATTTAAAATAGTCGCAGGGATTTCATCTGGGGAAGGAAAGCAGGAGTTGGTGGTGGGTACCCTGTGGCACTCCTGAGTTCCACAACAACTGGGGTCTGGCTGCCCAGGGCACTGTGCTGCCCAACATCATTACATCAGTCATAGCGTTGAATATTCAAAACAAGACTTTGAAGGGGAGGCTCCAATGTTAATTTACCTGGCGCACACAGAACAGTGTTTGGTGTTAAGATAATTAATTGCTTTCCTGCATCTGGATCATACTTTGCAGGCACAGACAATTGAGCCCTGGTAACTCACGTCCTGCCCCTTCCCAGCTCTCCCTTGGCTCACACCTAAGCCAAGGTAGGACATTTGAGCAGAACTCAGTATGAGGTGCAAGTCTGTGCACTGCAGTATGACTGATACACCAGCATGGCTTTTGCCTTTAGGTAACAAAAATAATAACAGCATTGCTTATCTGTACTTAACTCTGTGGCTTGCAGCTTGCATGTCTCATAAAGGCAAAAGAGGAAAAAAAGGAGGAGAAGAAAGGTAATCCCCTCTTCCTGCTAGTATCTCTGAAAGGTGGAGGACCAACAGGTTTCAGGCAAGCAAGGAACAGAAGGAAGTTCTCTCATCTCCCTTCAGCCCAGACCTGCTCGTGTGACTGAGCTCTGAGGAAGGAGTATTGGGAAAAAGATGAGAACAACCAACCTGAAGCTGTTCTGCTTGGAACTAGGTGGATTTTGGATGCAAATATGTCTTGGGAATTGGCATGACCTGAGTGAATAACAATCCCCTTCCAGGCTTGCTGCTCCTCATGCTGGAAAGAGCCATGTGACGCAATGGCTCCTACAGGACGGGACCTGGGTGCTCTCCCTGGTGTCAGGATTTCAAAACACACCAAAAAAACCCCACTCTCTGAAGGCCACGGGGTACTTGGGGAGGGCTTTAACTTTGTACTCTGCTCTCATAGCTCCAAAGTGGACTTTTCTTTAACTGGAGAAAAGGTGTTGGGCTTGGCTAGAAACACATTTTTAGTAATATTCTCCTTAAAACTGCTGTCAGAAGGTAGAATTCAAGGACAGACACATCAACTCATCTTCTAAGCTGGCCATTTACAATTTTAACACCTGTAAAACCTTCAATTTGGAAAATAATTAACTCAGTAGATCCAACGTGGTCACTTGGGAGAGGGAAGATAACGAGGCCCTCGTTTGGAAGGAAGACAAGAAGCAAAGCAGGAACATGAGGCACTTGAGCATTGTCTAGCCTCCTTGATGAGAAGAGTTATGCTCATTTTAAGCCACAGCCACAAGCCCTCAGGCCCTGCTAATTTATAGCGGCAGCTCCAGTTGTTTGCCAGCTCGAGAAATAACATAATGGATACACAACATCCAAATACTTTCTGCCAGAGTTGCTCAGAACCGTCATATTTAACAAGGTATGTCCACCTCCAACTGCACTCAAATGGTCCCACCAGAGCTTTACCTGGAAAGTTCTCACAGAGAACTTCAACTGGAGTGTTTCTCTTTGTGTCCCCAATCTTCTGATACCTCTCTTTTAAGGTGTCAGCCTGTAGCGCACAAAGACAAAACAGTTGTGGAGAAAGAGTTCAACCATGTGATAAACGACATGCTGTATGGGAAGAAAAACAAGCTATTTAATATCGATTCTAGGTGGTATCAGAAAATGTTACTTGTAATTGAACTGCATCCTAGACTACACTAGTAGGAATACTATCTTACCCTATTGTAATTCTCACTATGCATTTTACATGCTATCGACAAAGAATATCCAAGGACACATTCAAAACATCTTCAGTACTTGAAAGGAAGGACACTTGTTAGTGTCTTAAAAGGCTAATTTCTTACCAGCCCAGTTCTGAAGACTGTATAGGGGAGCTTTCATGGGACAAGAAAACAGCTGCATATACTATGATTGCACATCAGTATCCTGTCCTAGGCTGAAAGCCATCGGCAACCAAGATGCCTTCATAAACAACTGTAAAAGTAGATAAATTGCAATGGCAATTTGGGTTTTACTGTGTGTAACAATGTCACCACACAGATAACCAGTTTACATCAGTCACACTTCTCTCAAATCCCATGCTACTCCCATACTGCCTCTCCTTTCAACTCCAAACTGTCTATCACTTAGGCAGCACTGATTAAACATCTGGTCATGAAGAAAATTAAACAATTTTCAGTGAGATTTCCTACCTAAACCCCTCCTAAAGCAGAGAACTCTGCTCCAGTTGGCACCCTAAGAACAGGTTTTATTGCCTCCATTTCAAAATATGCCAGTTAGACCTGGCAGCAGCATAATTAGCATCGTAAGGTGTTCTCTCAAGATGTTAGCACTGACAGTATAAACCAAAAGTGTAAGCTAAGGAAACCGAGAAGAGTGAAGATACCATATTCTAGATCAAGCTGAAGAGTCTGTGTTTGTTCTGGAGCTAAAGAAATGCAGGACTTCAAGGAGTCAATTAATTCTTACCAAGTTCAGCACTGAACTGAGGAAATTTTGTAGAACCTTGTCTAAACCTGGAATTATTTTAGAATAATTTACAGTATTCATTTAAATCAGATGAGTTCAACTAAGCCAGAAACAAAATATGTAATAGAATAACACAGTTACAGAGGTGTGAACTTAAAGTCAGAGTGATTCTGATTTCTGTCACAATCACTTTCATGCTTGAAAACCCCCTTTTTTGCTTTTATGAGTTGTCGCCAACATTTCTGGCACATAAGGCTAAGCTGAGACTAACTCTGGATAGATGCCGACAAAACAGTTTAACAAGGTCTATGATATAAGCCACTGCCACTGACCATAGCAGCACTCTGGTGAGCAGCTTGTGAGCCCAAAAGCTTGTCTCCTTTTTCAACAGTACTAACAGGTCTAACAGGAGTTTTTGTCTTCATTAATAAACCTTCTCCTAACCTGATCAAATTCGATCCCTTCACTCACTGCAATTCCAATGTTTAACACAGTAGCTTAATCATCAGGAAAGTGATGGAGAAGTGAAGATGCAGCTACCAACAGCTTCAGAGCCATCAAACGACTTACTACTAGTTAATTCAGCTGATGGATGTTAGCTGCAGTTGCCGTAACTCGATTGCTTGCAGCCCTCCACATTGTAGATGACATTTCATAAACTTCTAAGCACTGAGTGTCCAGTGTCTCTGGAGAGAAGCCAAGCTCAATGCTTCTGCCAGAAAACCAGTTTTTCAAGCTGAAGTCCATCTGCACATCTACAACCATCAAACTGCTCCCATTATAAACACGTTTCACAGATGCAGCTGGGGGATTGTGTGCTGTAACTGGAATTTCATAAACAACCACTGTGTCCCAGTCACACTCCAGCTTGGGGCAGCTTCATGTTACAGCAAAGCTGCTCCAACAGTTCTCTCATTGCCATCCCTGTCCCAGCTGCTCATCTGCCTCTGCTGAATCTTCTCTCCAGACTTGTACCAATTCAGCTAAGCTAATGGCAACTTGAAGTGGCAGGTAACATATTTCTATCTTAAAATCTTTCCTGTAAGTAAAGCTAATGCCTTGTTGCTAGACCTCAAGGACATAAAGGAGACAACAGTGTTTCTTGCTGGATTTTTCAAATGTTTCCTTACTAGGTTCTCATTTGGGCAGAGACCAGACAAAATTTCAAAGGGAAAAACCTGAAAGTTCAAACCTACCTTCAATCCTTGCCAGGGCAGACTGCCTCGGAGGAAATACATAAACATATGGCCGAGGGCTTCCAAGTCGTCTCGACGACTTTGCTCTAAAATAGAAGAGATGACAAATTATTGCTGCAGCTGCAGAAATGAATCTGAGATCTGATCAGCAGCCATACCTATTTCTGAGACAAAGTTATCACAGGGAAGTTCACTTGCTGTCTGTAGCTCAGATCTTGGGCAAAACCACCTAGAACCCATAAAATAGGTAAAGAAAAGATCAGATAGAAGGCATGAGATAGCACATGAGCTGCCCAGCCTTAGGTAGAGTGGATAAGAGGTGGAAGTATTAATTGCAGAGGAACAACGCAGTTCCCCGGTTCTTCTCTGGACTGCCAGTGCCGATGGTGTACCTGCGATGTGGTGCTGGATTATGTTATCTCCTCTGAACTACACAGGAACAGGCAGGGGACGCTTGTAGACAGCAGCAGGAAACTACCATGTTGCATAGTGCCAACCCTTTCCCAATTGCTTCTGCAACTCATCACATCAGATCAAAAATAGCTCCTTCTAGCACTGCTTTTCCTCGTGAAACACTTGCTGCTGTTGCCATGCAGATGTTATGATTATAAACGAGAGAGGAAAAAAGGGGCCTCAAGCCAAAGGAAAAAGCATCCTTAAAATAATCTACCAAAATGTATCAAAAAACCCAAGGGAGGATACAAGATAGAACAACAAATCTGGAGCGCAACAGCATTGGACTGCTGCTGTGCTGGGCTGCATCGTGCAGACTTGGGTTCACTGAGCTTGCAGACTAATTTGATGCAACCTCCTCTCCTCCAAATCTCCACCTGCAAGCAAGTAACGTGCTCCATAGCTGCAATTTGGAGCAGATCTAGTCATGCAGCCCACACGCCACAACAAACCGTGCATGAGCTGTCCCTGATGCTGCATCATCTGCAAGAGGAGAAAAAGGCAGCGCTTTGCACAACATGACTCTCCTTCAACAGCAGCAGCAAATTTAACCCTCAAAAGGCTCTGGGAGTGAGAACACTCAGCAGAAGAGAATTGAGATGACAGTTCCTGCAGGTTACCCTGATACAGCTGTAATAAAGGGAAAAAAAAGAGGATGTCCTGGGTAATTTAGTGCAACAATGCAGATGAATTTCTCGGGAAGATGGTTGAGTGCACTTGTCTTTCAGAAAAATTGCAATCAGACTCCTTTATTTTGCTTGGTCCTGAAATGTGAAGGGATCGACTCCACCTGGGCTGGCCTCACCAGTAAAGCATCAGCCCCACAAAACACAGCTGGCAGCCAACTTTCCCCTCTTCAAATACACCCGCCCAGAACTGACTCTTCCCCTGCATGAGCCACGGCCTGACCTGCAAAGCCTGCAGGGAAATGGGTCCTAAAGAAGGCATGTGGTGTACTTCTTTAGCAAGCACGTCATCTTTCCACATCCACCTGCAGAGCACATCTCCACCACCAGCAGTTTCCAAGCCTGTTCCCACTGTGGCTTCTCCTTCCTCCATCCTTTCCTGACTCTTCACCAGGTTTTCCAAAATTAGAGTGCGAGCTCTCCAAGAGACATGAAAGCCAGCAATGCCTTGATCTCATAGCTGGGAGGCTTCTCAAAGAATATTCCATTATCATACTGCTCTTATGAGTTTAAGTTAGTATAAACATTTAACAAGGTTTTTTGCCTTTCAGCAACTGAAGTGCAATCTTCTGGTATGAAAGAAGGCAGTGAGGAGTGGAGATGAAAACCAGGTTTAAAATCAGTTAAATCATTAATTTTCTCCAACCAGTTATTAGGTCAGGGAACATGCAACTCTAACACCTGAAACTGGAAGATACCGATGCAGAGCTGTGCTATAAAAATCTATGTGGTCATCATTTAGCGTGGCAATGACTAGCCACCTACTTGCCTTTTATTAGAGCAGGGTTGCTACCAGTTATTTAGTTCCTAATAAAAACTATAATTACGAGACTTCCAAGATTTCAGCTGTCTCAATTCCTCAAAAGGGGGAAAAAAAAGAGTCTCACAACTGTAAACAGCATCACTGCTGCCTCTCAAATCACGGCACTGGGAGGTTTACAAATAGCTCGAAGGGCATGAGAGAGCTGTAAGCCAAGCTACCATCAGAGGTCTACAGGACTTGGCACCACAAGCTCCCAGCAAGCACACAGACCTTTGCCAAGATGAGTGTTGATGGACATGTATCTCGCCGTTCCAGTTAAGCTCTTGTGTTCCCTGTAAGGTATGTGTTTTTTGGTTTCCGGGTCAATGTACTCCTTTGCCAATCCAAAGTCTATGATGTGAATGACGTGTTCTTTCTTATTGCCTTGTCGGCCAATAAGGAAGTTTTCTGGCTTGACATCTCGGTAGATGAGGTTCTTTGAATGCACGTACTCCATTCGAGATATCTGCAAAATGATAAGGCAAACGTTATTTGCGAGCAGACCAGCTATCGCGCTCTCCCAGCTAACAAGGCAGCAAGGTTTTGTTAGACCATCACTGAGCCTTGACTCAGTGCTCTCTCATATTTCAGCTACTCTGCGAGAAATGCAACAACAGACGGAGTGAACTAAGGCAGCAGTTACGATGGGAGCTGGGTTGTGTCCTCCAATGAAGAGTCAAAACAGGAACTTGTCATCCCCTCCTTTCTCTGGCTACTGTACTGCGCTCTCCGACTTTATTCCTACAGAAATTGCAAAGGCGGTTTCTGAAATGTTACCACCAGGACACAGCTCTTGGAAGGATGCCACAGGGAATTGCAGCAGCCTTTTTGTATTGACTTTACACATACTAAACCGGTTACCAAGAGCTCTTCCCTTGCCCACAGCCTTCCCTTGTTGCTCTATGTCTTACCACCTTCCTCCCTCGACCCATATGTTGTCTTAGACATGCCAGATTCTTCATGGAGGGGGATTTTTGGGCAGGCAGAAGCCCTACGATCCTCAACGCTGACTAAAAAGAATAATTAATCTCATCAGTTGTCAATTAGGAATAGCTGGAATATTTTTCAGCTTTTGACTAACTTTGTTCTGGCAGCATGACTGAGAAGGGAAGGCTAACGGGTGGGAACTCTGCTTCTAAGGCAATGGATGGCCATTTCCCCTCTAAAAACGCACCTTATTCAGATGCTCATCATTAATATGCAGGCAAATCAGGGTATGAGGACCAGCCAACATGGATTTATGAAAGAAAGATCATGCTTGACCAATCTGGTTTCCTTTTATGACAAGGTGACCTGCTTTGTAGATCAGGGAAAGGCTGTGGATGTTGTCTACCTAGACTTTAGTAAGGCCTTTGACATGGTCTCCCACAGCATCCTCCTAAATAAATTGGCTGCTTGCAGCTTAGATAGGTGGACTCTTCAGTGAGTAAAAAACTGTCTGAATGGCCGGGCTCAGAGAGATGTGGTCAACAGAGCTAAATCTAGTTGGCAGCCAGTCACTAGCGGTGTTCCCCAGGGCTCAGTTTTGGGGCCAGTGCTGTTTAACATCTTCATAGTTGATCTGGATGAGGGGATTGAGGGCACCCTCAGTAAATTTGCAGATGACACCAAGGTAGGTGGGTGTGTCGATCTGCTGGAGGGTAGGAAGGCTCTCCAGAGAGACCTGGACAGCCTGGATAGAAGGACTGAGACCAACAACACGAGTTTCAACAAGAACAAGTGCCAGGTCCTGCATTTTGGCCAAAAAAACCCCATGCGGCGTTACAGGCTGGGGGAAGGGTGGTTAGA